TTAGAACTTCAACAATTGCATCTTCGTCTTCAATAGCCTCCTGTTCGATGGTCTTGGGACATCCGCACGACTAAATAAATATAGTATAGTACGTTAAAATTTAATTCGGATGAAGCCTTGTTCCTATCATGTTCTAAGGGCTTACATACCCGAATTATGAAATTTATCAATATAAGTAAAGCTTTTTGATTATCAACTTCATAAGTCTCTACCCAATCCGATACAGTATTCTCTAAATCACTATCTAGCATAAGAACCGCCTCTGAATGTAAGAAATAAAACAAATCAGTAAATAAAAAAAGAGTTTTTCATAATTGATTCAAAAAAGTTCAATAACATACGATAAAGTGACATTCCACTATCTTCTAAAAGATTACGAGAATTTCTCGAAGAACTTTGTTCAATCGAAACTAAAGGTTGTGGAGCAAGATCATCTCCTGAAGCAATCTTATTTATATTTTCAGGTGAATTCTCTGATGTACTCCCAGGTGTACCTTGTTGCGTAGTTTGGCGCGTTTTTGTCTTCTTTGCTCTACGAGTTTCTGTAGTCGGCTTCACAGTGTCTAATTGCGCAGTTGAAGACTTTTTAGGTCTTCCTCTCTTTTTTCGTATTTCAGGTTCTGAATTATTGGATTCGGTATTATTAATACTATCATCAGAACTATTTCTATCAAGAATTTCACTAGATTTTGTGGATGAATCCTTTTTCGGCCTTCCTCGCCTTCTTCGAGGGATTTCTTCCTCAACTACATTTTTATCTTGATCGTTGCTTGACTCTTCGGATGAATTTTTCCTTGGCCTTCCTCGTTTTTTCCGAACTTCAGGTACTGAGCCATTTGATTCATTGGCCATTTCCTCAGGTCTATTCTTCTCATGACCATCGCTTGATTGGGACGAAGATCCTTTCTTTGATCTTCCCCTCTTCCGTCGAATTTTGGGTTCTGTTGTATTTGATTCATCTGTTCCATTCTCAGAACTATTTTTTTCACTATATTGAATGGATGAATTCTTCATTTTTCTTCCCCGCTTTTTTTGAATATTCGGCACTGATTCATTTGAATCATTAACGAGTCCATCGGAAACATTTTTATCAAAATCTTCACTGTTTAATTGCTCGGATGAATTCTTCGCTGTTACAACTGGTTCTTCTCTAACTATAATAACTTCGGAAGCTGGTGACTCATTGATTATTTCATCTGGGGTATTATCTTCACTAGAATTTGTAATTGAAGATTTTTTAGGTCTCCCACGCTTTCTCTTAACATTTTGTGTTGATTTATTGGTGTCATTGATCGTATCAACGTCTGAAACATGCTTTTTATCATCATCTCCCTCGCCTTTATTATCTATACGGCGTGATTTCCGCCGAGTGATTAATGCTATATTTGAAATTATTGCTTAATTAACCTACTTCATAATAATATATAAATATTCATGAAAAGAAAGGAAACACAGGAACATACTATCATCTTGCAACAACCAACTTGGTGGTTTCCTTGCTCTCGTTGATCTCCGCAAGTTTGATGATGTATTAGTTTCTATAAGTAATTATAATATTAATAAGCCATTTGTCTATATAAGAAAAATAATAAGTGTTGTAAAAAATAATAAATATATATTACTTGTTGAAGATTCAGTCTCTGCTTCTGAAACTTTATCTTGAGTTTTTTCTGACAAAATTTCCTCCGATAAATTGTTAGGAGATGATATTCTTACTTGTTCATTGTCAAAAGGTTGTGATACGATATCAATCTATTTTTACATATTTAATTATTAAATTATTAATTAACTTTATATAAAATATAAAATTACTAGTTTATTTAATTTCTAGCTTACCTCCTTTTCTTTTTCTGAAATAGTGTTCATTTTGCTATTTTCGATCTGTAAAATAACAAAGAGGTATACTTGAGAAACTCATGAACCATAAAAAAAAAAAAACTAACTTGCTCGCGAAAAGTTGTTGATAAATCCATTAATCATTCAATAAACGAAATAGAAATTTCAAGTACCTGATGATAAAACCAAACTTTTAAAATTTGTTATAGATTTAGTTATTTTCTTGGTTTACTTTGCTAGTTATATTTTAGCAAACTGTTTGCAATTTAAGAAAGAAAAAAAAAAAGTGAGTTTAAAACGCGTAGAGAAAAAATGCAACCCGTCGAGCACCACTAAGAATAATGATATTTTTTTTGTACGCGTTGGGTTTGCTTTATATTATAATCACAGAGACGTAGTTTCGAAACGTAGTTGGAAAAAATTTGCCCGGAGTTATCATTATGATCAACCAATCATAGTTGATTATAATTTCAAATGCTATTTCGTTTTTCCGAAAAGGGCCAGTAACGTGAAGGGCGCAGCATATATTAAAAATTGATAAGCCGATTCGATCATAAATATATTTATTGTAGAATTCTATTCTTTTTTCTTTTTTTTAAAAATTTATATATTAATTGTAATTTACATAATATCAGTTATGTAGAGGAATTATATACCTTCCTTAGTTCATCGATCTCAACTTTGATCAAAGTTATTGGACATCTCCCATAATCCTCGATATGACGAGAAATGCAAAGATAACAAAAAACATACCCGGATGAAAGTGCTGTTGGATTAGTCAAAAGATTCGAACAAATTGGACATACGTTAGGTGTGTCTGGAAGCGGAATTCCTCGCGGATCAGGCTAATGAAATAAATTAGATCTTTAATGCAAAAAAAAAAAAATGTGACATTCTTGCGTAAAACCATACCGCTATAATTTCAGGAGGTGGCACATCTATTCCATCGACACGACCTGGTTGTCTTGCATATTCGCTCGAATACCACCACTCCAAGAATCTATAAAAGAATATAGACATTGGCAATAGAATTTTGAGAAAGTCTAGCAAGTCCGATAAAATCAGGCTTGAAAAATAACGACTGATTTGAAGCAGCGTTGTCGATTGCAATTTATTTCTTGGTAAATTCTTTCTTCTTTCAGACTGCTCACGCTATTAAATAGATATCACATTCAAATAATAGAAATATTAGAAGTTACAAAAACATGTAATCGAATCGCATTTTTTTAAAAAATTTACTTACGTAATCTTGTGCGGTCATTCTACGAATTTCTATACCCATTAACCTTAGCCATGGTGTGTAATAACACGTTTTATCATATAAATATAAAATGTTATATAATAGGTTTGAACCATGATAAAAAGCATTCAGCCATGGATAAAATATCTTAAAAAATCGCCGGATGAAACGACGTATACGTTCTCTACGATTAAGCTGCTTACGATTTTTATCAATAAAATTAAAAAGTTTCCTCAGTTTAAATTGAATTACTGAACTAATTAAAGAATACAAACTTGGATATTTCCCTCATTATTTTCTCGAGAAAATGTGACACCTAATAATCTTGCACCAACACCTCCACTAATTTCTTCATATTTATTATCGAGCTTTGTTTTTATGTAAGGAATTCCAACCTTTAATTTAAAATTAGCAATGTTAATAATTAAGGTAAAAGCAAAAAGAAGCCGTGTGAATCGAATAATTTTACCAAAAAACATAAGGATAGCCATATATCAGAATTCTTTAGTTTTTGTAAATCGGCATCCGGTGCTGCCTCAGGTAAGTTGATTTTTGTTCGTATCGACCGAATTCTTTTCAATCCATAAAAGCTTTCAGCAAAAGACGCGTCTACAAATTTGGTTTAAAAATTAATACATGTTGAAGGAAAAAAAAACGTATTAACGTATAAGAATACTTCACAATAATTTTTCAAGTAGTGTTTCTCAACCAATAACGTTACGAGAGCATAAAACTCATCAAATTGATTAAATAAGCGAAGCAAGTATCTAGGATATCGTTGAGCATATACCTATATAAAAAAAATTATTATGTTATAATCAAGTAACGTATCCAAGCCTTTTGAAAGTGATATTAACCGATAAAATATATTTGACAGCTGGTTGAATGAGATCGCGCAATTTTTCCTGTGCGACTAACTCGAACAAAGAGGGACGATAAATGTCGGCGCCTGAGCCAATATCACTCATAAATTCCATCATATAAGTTAGATAGGAAAGTATGTGAGAAGATTTGGTAATACATTATAACTTCTAGGGTACACTTAAAACCCTAAAATTTTTTGTTTTTTAATTCGTGCTACTTTAATCATATCAGCAAATGTAAGGTAGATCAATCAGAATTGGAAAAAAAAAACAAAATACTCATAATAACTTACTTAAATAAAAATGTTTTCTAATGCTTCATCAGTAATTAATGTTCGAGACATTATAAAGAAGCAAGAAGAAATTCAAAGTCTCTTTACAAGCAACTGCAAGCCAACGACAGCTCATTTTAATATTGTACAAAGAGTCACTGTAGGTCTCTCCATTTTGAATAAAGAACTACTTTTAAAACAAAAGTTAATGGAAATGAAGAAAGAAGCTGTTGGGCAACCAAGTTGTAATTTATTCAAAATTTCAGATTCTGCGACATGGAACATTGAAGACAATGGTCAAGCTGATACGTCGCGTCATCATCCAGAAGATAATGATATTCCAGGTGATCATGATTTTTTAATTACAAGTTTTTATGCTTTAAATTTTTTTTTAAGTTATTAAATAAATATGCCTTTGTCCAACAGAAATCGCTAATCAATTAACATTAGCGCGTCGATATCGGGTTATCAATATAGTTGGTGAGGGCGCTTTTTCAAAGACAGTATGCGCCGAGGACCTATATCGCAATAGGAGTTTAGTAGCCATTAAGATCATGATTTCCAAACATAACCGCGTTGGATTTGAGGTTTGATTTTTAATTTGTATGTGATTAATTACAATATTATGATTTATCATTAAGTAATATATTTATTGTTATTAGGAATGTAAAAAACTACGCTATTTAAATTTGCATGATGTTCATGGAAACTCTCACACTAGCAAACTCCTGAATACGTTCTTCTTTGACAAACATTTTTGTTTGGTATTTGAATATTATCGAGGTGGTGTGCCAAAAATTTCATTTACGGTTAATGAACAACTCCGATTACAAATTATTAGAAAGTTAGCTTGTCAGCTTTTAACCGCTTTAATTTACATTAAACATATGGCTGTAATACACGGTGATTTGAAGTTGGAAAACATTCTTTTTGTCTCGGGTAATTATATCTTTTTATCTTTTAAAAAAATAGATATTTTTTATATGTACATATTTTCTAATATTTATTTATGATATGTATGGAAATCGTCACAGAGAATTCTTATGATTTAAAGGTAATTGACTTTGGTAACGCAATTGGTTTGGATGATGTAAAATTTTATATGGAAAGTTTTGAAATTCAAAGTCTTATATACAGAGCTCCGGAGGTAAATAAATTTTTTTAAAAAATTTTCATCACACTTATCTACTTGCTGAAATATTTTCCTTTTTCTAAGGTTTTACTAGGTCTTCCTTTTGGTTATGAAATCGATATGTGGTCGTTTGGTATGTATGAACAATTCATAATAACTTGTTTAAGAAAAATTTCTATTATAATTTTTTCGGATGAATGATTTTTAGGATGTATCATATGTGAAATTTGGATTGGTCATCCTATTTTTCAAAGTGATACAAAAAGTAGTATTATCAAAGAAATGGAACAATTGTTAGGCCCTCTCCCAACCTCAATATATAAACCTGCAAAAAATTTTGCTTGGTATTCGACCCGAATTGATAATGGATTAAAAGATTGGCCAACAGGGTCGAATGAAGATACGTAAGTTCAAAAGGTGTGTGAATAATGTGTGTAATAAATTTTGTTTTAATATAATTTTTCTTATGTGTATAGGTTACAATCGATGCGAATTAGAAAGTTATCAAAAGCTTTAAATACTAATAATATGGATTTTATTAAATTTATTGATGAAATTTTCAACTATGACTCTTCCAAAAGGCTTACTCCAACAGAAGCTTTGTGTCATAAATTTTTTGCACCATTATTTCCATTCGCACTATTTTACGCAAATCATGAGATCAATACTTTATTGAAAACTCAAATACGTTGAGAACTTCATAAATGCTATATTTATATATTCAGTTATTAACATAATTATATTAATATTGCTTATGGTCCCCATAAGCATAGTTTTGAATCTTCGCCGCCGGAGAGAAAAATATTTGTCTAAAAAATAATTATAATTATAATAATAATAATTAATAATTAGTTATACAAATTAATAATAATAATAATAAGTATAATCATAATAACAATAATAATAATAAACCAAAGTGGATTATTTCAAATCCGGAAAGAAAAGTCAGCCGAGAGGCTTTGAACTAACCTGCGGATTCCAACAGACGCTTCGAACTATTTCAGAGTGAGCGTCATTAAAAGAGTGACATAATTGTAGTTCATTAGCACTTACATGGATCATACTGATGTTTCCACTATATATCAAACAGAAAAAAAAAAAAAGGTCAATAAAAAATAAATTTAAAAGAAAAAACGCGAACTTACGTGTTAGATCCGGTAAAGAGGTATAATCTATTAGTGGAAAACTCGAATTGACAATCGATGGCATAGTCAATTTGAGCCAAATTGGGGATCGAAAATTGTCGAATATCACCGAAATCACATAATGAATCTGCCTGGAAGATTAGTCTTAAATTTAACAAATCGAGACTGACTAATAAAGAACATTTTGATATTAAGAATAGTAAAGGCATACTTCCGATGCATCCCACAAACTAAATGTTTCATTATGTGTCAGACAATAAATATATTCAGCATTGGGTCCAAAATATCCAGTTCGATTGATTGATGATCTAGAATTTATTACACCAACCAATCCTTCATCCTCATTAAAATTCTTTAAATCAAAATTACATATTAATCCGTCAAGGGATCCTGTAATTAGCTGAGATGGACTTGTTAGATGAAATTTGACTTGCGTTATATCATCATTATGTGATTTAACAAATTCGGCGTGCAACGATGAGGAATTTCTCAAGTCCCTAAAAAAAAAAGTGATTAATTTAAATTTTTTTTTTTTTTATTACAAACAAGTGTAAGATATGATAGGTATGTACCAAAATAAAACCTTGGCATCATTATCGACAAGTTCGGTACCTGCTGCTAAAAGCGTATCAGATATGTTGATATCAAATGAAAGCAAAGGTTCCCGATTCTTTGCTGATAAATGCTAAATGTTAAAACAAATTCCTTTTTAATAAAGATTAGTGGAAATTTGAATAAATAAATTTACATGTACCTAAAATAATTTGTGATGGATCTTGATTTGATGCTCTCAAATCCCAAATCGCGATACGACCATCTTTGGAGCTCGATATCAACAAATGATTTTTGTGTATTTGTAAATTTGTAATGGAATCATTGTGAAATGATAACTTTCCATTAAATTCAAGTTCTTGATTCTTATAATTATATGATTTTAACTCATGACTTGAGTCCGATACCACACAAAATGAATCGGTAGATACTATATCAAAAATGTATGGATCATTTTTGAATTTAACACTAGATTTCTTTTGAATATTCGGTATTAATCCGTGTACTATGCTTAAATTCATGATTGAATGATACTTTTTATTATCGTAATATAGAGATAGAGAGAGAGACCCTAATCTATATGTATGATCATCTATTAAATTTTTTAATAACCGATGATTTGTTTGATGATCGACAACCCTTACGATTACTTTCAATTTTCAATGACACGATTATTGCGCGAAATAATGTCACGTACATTAAAAAATCTAAATATCATAACCTTTGAATAGAAAAGGAGGGAAAACTGCCGGAAAAATCAATTTTACTTTAATATGCCAAATGCCAAATATGATTTTTAGGCCAAATAAAGTACCCCGGCTAATATTTTCACTTCCACGTGACTTGCACAATTTGTAAGGGGAATCTTAACCTGTTCCAGGGGTTTACGATATTAACCTGTTCCCCTCTAATTTTCACGTGACATATACTGATCCAAATTTGATTTATTTGTTTATCAGTCTCTTTTTTAATTTTTACAAGCATGGCAGACATTTGTATGATTGGTCGATTTTTATGTCGATCATTTCCTAATTGTTATTGAAATGATTAATTTTG